CTCTATAGCTGATGCTGTTCTGCATTGCTGTATAATGGTATTGCTGGGAATTGTAGTTCTCTATAACTGTTGGTAGTCATTATTGCTGGGATTTATAGTCCTCTATAGCTGATGGTATTCTGCATTGCTGTATAATGTGCTGAGATTTGTAGTCCCTCTACAGCTTGGAGTTAGTGGCATAACTACCAGGGTCGCAGCAGTCATATACGCGCACAGCACTGACGAGGCATCCCTCCACTACCAGTGTGCTATAATTTTCCTCAACCCATACTCTACCGCGCCTCTTCCAGGTGCGCATGTCATGAAGAAAGGGGGTCATGAAAACAGCTGATTCGGATGACTCGGCCCCACTGGAAGTGACACAGTCGAGAAAATGTATTGGATCGAGAAAAATTATAGAACACTGACTTTGACACTGTCCAGCCCCTCCCACAGCTCACAGCCCAGGAGCATGGACAGCCAGCGGCGGCCTACAGTGGGGGAGAGTGCCTAAGTAGTGGACATGGAGCGGAGTAAGGCCAGAACCATGTAGGGAGCCCAGTGGGAGGAGAGCACCATCCCCCAGCCAGTCACCCCTTTCATGGACTTACTAGGAGTCCTCACATCACCCGACCGTTCACACTACCGTTACATGGATGGCAAAAGTGGCAGACGGGCGGGGAGAATGCGGGGACGAGGCAGAGCGGGAGGGGAGCCAAGTTGCTGCACAATGGGCCTCTGGGTTGTATTTGCCCCCTGGGCTAAAAGTTGCCAGTCAGCCCCTGGCTTGAGATATATGGGGAGTCACTGTCCTAATAAACTTAATACATCCTGAGTAGGGATGCACTGATATCGGTTTGTTGGTATCAAGCAAGAATACCGATTTTTTTTCGGATACTCGCCGATACCGAGTATCGGTGCCTTGTGCCCCGATTATCAGGAAGTCACCCACCTTCCTAATTGCCTGTGAAGCCAGTGTTCGCACTTTTGCACGCACCGCGCGAGCGGTACCCTGTCCAAATGTAAAAACAGGCTGCGATGCCTGTTTACATACAAGCGATCCGCTGGCTATAGAGCGGATATCTTGTATAAGGTGCCTGTGTGTGCGTCCCCTCCGTGGCCCCCCTCCCGCTGTCCCGGGCTCCACTGTGCCCGGTGCGAGCCTGGTGGCTCTCTGACAGGGGATCAGAGGGAGATCGGTTACATATCGCCACGAACGTCGCAGTGAGAGCAATAATTCTAGGGCCTGTAATCAGTGATAAAACTAAACTGATGAGCGGTAAAAGCTTTTAAAGCGTCGCCTATGGTCAATCATGGGTATGGTCGTTTTTTGCAATTTTGCAGGTGCGCACAATTTTAAAGCTTGACATGTTTGGTGTCTATGTACCCGACGTGACCCCGTCTTTTATATTTTACCAAAAAATTGGGTAATAATAATTGTACTATAACATAATGTAAAAACATTTTATCTTATATAATAATAATAATAAAAAAAATACCAGTGGTGATTAAATAACACCAAAAGAAAGCTCAATCTGTCACCCAAAAATAGTATAAAATTCATTTCAGTACAGCGTTGCATGACGGAATAAATGTCAAAGTACCGCAGCGCTAAAAACTGAAAAATGGCCTGGACAGGAAGGGGGTGTAAACACCCTGGTTATCAAGGGGTTACTAAAGCATTGAAAAAGTCCTTAGAGTGACTGGCGCCCTATTACTGTTCACATCCCACAACCTGGCTATGGATCCACCCCTGAGAGTGAAATGTCAGCTCCTACTACACTTTGGGGGTCCACCTCAGACCTCTGGGGCCTCAGAGGGTGCTACACGTTTATTTACAAAATGGCTATTGCTCAGGAAAAGGAGGATGTAGTGAAAGCCGCTATTCCTTTTCTGATTTCTCAGCAGAGAAATGGGAGTCCTTGGAATCTACTAGAGTACTGGGGAAGAAATATGCCCTTCCAGGCAGATTTATAGCCTTGGAGGAGGTGGTTGATTGTCGCAGGCTATTTATGCTTCAGAACAGA